TTAAAACGACTCAAGTGACTGTAGAAGTTTTGACTTTGAATTCAAAAATGAATTTTTAAAATTCAAAAATGAAGTTTCATTAAATTTATAGTAAAAGGGCAACCCTAACTACACCTGTGGCTATTTAATCGTTGAGATATTGTTTGGGAACCCGATGAAATATTGCTTTGAAGGCAAAATGGCTTATCTCGAGATAACTTGCTGCATACGTGTCGCTCATTTCCTTCAATAGTGTCATAACTCGAAAAAGCTAAACTCGACTAAAACGATTTAAAAGATTGGAATTTACGTATAATCCCATAGTAAAAATGAATACATACTTTGCTTTAGTGAAATACTGGAAATTGATACAGCTATGCAATTTTTATGTAACATAGAAGAAGAGGTAGCGGTAATTTCTGCAACTCAAAATTTATATTTTTTTTAGATTATGACACTATTGAAGTAAATGAGCGATATGTGTAAATATACATATGCTTTTTAGTTTTGCCATTTCCATTTTGAATTATCTTATTACTTATCTTATTTTAATTTTTAAAATTTTTTTTACTATTATTTATATTTATATATCTTGAGTTTTTTCATACTTCATAATTTTTTTTTTTATTTTAAATATACTTTTTTATTTTATTTCACTTCATTTATTTTATACATAATATGCATAATTTTAAGGAAGATGCGACTTTTATTTTAAATAGCCTGCTTTTATTTTAAAAGGTATCACATTTAAAACTGCTTTAAATAATTAAGAAAAAAATATATAGGTTGAGGCCACTTTTAGTTTGTTAAATATTTATTTTAATTTTTATTTTTAAATTTTTATCTTATTTTGTTTTTCACTTATTTTATTTTGGTTTTACCTTATTTAATTTAATGGTGCTTCGTCTTTATTTTATTTTATTGTATTTTATTTTATTTTATTTTATTTTAATTTATTTTATTTTATTTTATTTTATTTTATTTCATTTCATTTCATTTCATTTCATTTCATTTCATTTCATTTCATTTCATTTCATTTCATTTCATTTCATTTCATTTCATTTCATTTCATTTCATTTCATTTCATTTCTTT